GGACCAGCCTGGTCGGAGGTGGACGGGCGGGGCCCGAGGGTCCTGCCAGCAGCTGTGGTTGTGTTTGTAGGATGGTTGGCCGATGCTTTGGAAGGTCTGGGGCAGAGGAGGATGCCCTCACCTCTAGCGTTGAGAAGGGGACCCTGGCTTCTCGGGTGGGATGGGGGCGGGGGAGGACGTAGAAGCAGGAGGGGCTCCTGCTGGAGTCTGCTGGAGGAGTGCTGCTGGAGGCTGAGACTGGGCGGCAGGCGAGGTGCAACCAGGGACGTTCCGGAGGACCAAGTCCTTCAGGGGAGGGATGCGGTTCTGGCCCAGAGGTGGAAGAGAAGGCTTTGCTCCATCAGCCAGTTAGAAAACTGGGACACCTCAGTCTCTCTGGAGCTGGGGCCTGGGAACACGGTTTTCTGTTTTAATTGAGAAAAAAAGAGATGACGCACCTAATTTTTTTAATTCTGAGAAAGTTAAACATGCGGAAAACCCGAAAGAAAAAGCCACGGACACCTGCGCATTCAGCACCGGGTGGTGATCGTGGTTCCCATTTTGGCACTTTAATCATAGGATGAAACCATTGCTGATTAATTCAGCGCCCAACCCCACCCTGTCTCCAGCCCCTCTCAAGACCCAGTGTGACCCTGTGCTGTCTCGTGCTGCTGTTGCATATATATAGATACACACACGTGCACACACACATACACACACACATATACACACATACACACAATGCACACACATAGCACATATGCATACACACTTATATACCTATACATGCACACACACACATATACATATAACACACATACACACACATATCACAATGCACACACATATGCATATACATACACACATACACATATATGCACACACATATACAGCACACACATAGGTATACATGCACACATGCACATACACACTTGCACACCTGTACACACATATGCACACACACATATATGCACACACATACATATAATGCACACATATACAGTGCACATGTACATATAAAAACACACATACACACGTTTAGACCTATATATGCACACACACATATACACATAATGCACACATACATATACATCACACATGTACACACATATACACACATACACACAGACACTTACATG